CCTGCTGAATGAACAATACCATAATTTATTTAAACAATCCCTATTACTGAAGGAAATTTAGCCGTGAACTTCCTTGTACATCTATATTTGATCACTTGCATATCTATGAGGACAATTCCTAGAAAGAAATTTTATGAATCAAAGACTATGAACATTTATATTTTTGAAAGACATTCCCAAACTGACCTCCAAAAAGATTATGCTAGTTTACGCATGGAGTTCCCCAACTGCTCATCAACACTCGATGTTATCAACTGGTTCAGCCTTTACAATCTCATAAATGAGAAATGCTGCCTGACTTGTCTGATTTTCACTGACTTAAGTACAAGTAAAATGAAATATCTTTTAATTTTTTCAATCAACCATTTGTTTTTCTGTGAGCCTTTTCATATTCTTTGCCCATTTCATTACTGGCCTATCGGTATTTTTGAATTGAATAGACTTCTGTATATTAAGAAAATTTACCTTCTTTCTTATGAGCTGCAACTGTTTTCCATATTTTTCTTTCGTAACTTCTTTTTTTTTTTCTAACTTTTTTTTTTTTTTTTTTTTTTGCGGTACGTGAGCCTCTCACTGTTGTGGCCTCTCCTGTTGCGGAGCACAGGCTCCGGACGCGCAGGCTCAGCGGCCATGTCTCATGGGCCCAGCTGCACCGCGGCAAGTGGGATCCTCCCGGACCAGGGCATGAACCCGTGTCCCCTGCATTGGCAGGCGGACTGTCAACCACCGCACCACCAGGGAAGCCCTCGTAACTTCTTTTTACAGTGTCTTTGATAGTTCAGAAAGTTTTAATTTTTGAGTACAATTCAGTATTTTCCTTTTCAGCTTCTGATTTTCATGTCATGCTTAGACATTCTCTACTTCAAGATTATAAAAAATATTCACTCATGCTTTCATCTAGTACCTTTAATCATTGTATTTTTGACACTGAAATTTGTGACTTACTTCAAAAAGTGAAGTAGAAGATTCAGCTCACCACCATTTACGTGGCTCTTTGGCCCCACCCATCACTTATTAAGTAGTTTATTTCCCCACTGATTTGAAATACTAGCTTTATCACATACTAAATCCCCCTGTATACTTGGTCTATTTTTGAACTCTAGTCTGTTCCACTGATATTCCTGCACCAGGACAAAAATGGTTTAGTTTTATAATTTCATAATACGTTTCAATATCTGAAGTGTTCGGCTTTCCCTAACTATAATTGAAATTTTAAAATATAAAATGAAACAATAAAGTTTACCTCCTCACTTTCCCCTCCAAGTGTGTCTACCACTCTCTCGGGCGCCCAGCTCTCCCAACGAGAAACTTTAAAAACTGTCACAGCAGTGAATAATGAAAGTGGCTCCGCTCAGAAGTGACAAATCTGAAGAAAAGTCACTGCATTAAAATACGGGAGAGTGTCCTGACTCCCCCCCAACTCGGTCCTTCCACTTCCCCTCGCAACATCAGCCCGCCGGCCGACGCCTGCCGCAATTCCCAGTTCAGCCTCTAGAGGCGGCAGCCAGACGGAAGCGAGTGGACCAGGATTGACTCCCAGAGCAGCTGCAGCCGTCGTGACGTCACGTCCGGTCACGGCGGCGGTCCTCCGCTGGCCGATCGGGAAGTAGCTGAAGGCTGGGCGATGGCAGTCCTGGAGGCCCCGCACCCGGACAGACCCGAGGCCACAGTGCCCCCGCGGTAGGCCGGACCAGGGTGGCGGGCTCCGGGTCCCGAGATGAAGAGCGT